TTAGCTAGCCTAACTAATGTCATGATTGTTGCGGCTAGTTCTCCTAATCACTTAATCCAACTGTGAATTGGCGAGAAAATTGTTAAGGCAAAATATAAGTATTTACTAATTTAGATCCACTAAAATAAATTAGCGCATTTTTCTACGGTGGCAGCTGGAAGCAAGCTTTGGAATTTTACTTGCTGGATGGACCTGTAGTGACATTTTGACTATATTGTAAAATTCTTATTGTAAAATTCTTAACATTCTTATTGTAAAATACTTATTGATAAAATTTGGTCGCCATTTATTTTATGGAAATGGTTTCTCTGTTTTTCTACTTCCTGTCTGATGGTTCGTAAAGGATTGATCAAGGTGCCTTTTCAAGAAACGCGGTTTGGCGCTTGTGTTGCGCCCAAGACTGTAACAACATTCAGTTAGAAAACACCAATCGGCGACACCATGGGTTTTAATCATTCATCTACCGGCCAAAACTAATCAAATATGGTTAAAATAAAAGGGCGTGTACAGTGATAGTTTCAGACTTCAGTCAATGTTCAAACAGAAAATAGTTCGTCGCTGTCTTACGCACAAACAGACCGATCGGAGTTACGTTAGCAAACTGAAGGGCTGGTGTCAAGGTCATGGTTTTATTGAGTGCTGTTCGGCCTGAGTAAACGGTGCCAATAGATCAACCCTATCTGCGGTTAAAACGGGCGCTGGAATATTCGAATCGCAACATATTCTGATATGGCGAGCATTCGTGTGCGCAGATACTTCAATTTGTCCATGATTTGGCGGCGTCCGTATCCGGATTTGCCTGTCACTGTGACGTCCATGGGGACAGTCACAGGACGCCTGCGCCTACAAAGGGGACCATGGGTGGCTTGCGCTGCACCACCCATAGTTCCACCCACACACCCCATATCCGGTGTAAACCCGAAGGAATAAGACCGGGAGGCATGTGGATGGGAGCCACGTTTCATCAACGGAGCCGGCTCACACTCCTTCAACAAGCAGAACGGAAGCATTCCGGCCTAATTGGGAAATCATACACACCAGACGTACACGAGGCGGTGGCTGGACCGTAGCCCGTTCCACACAGGATGGAACCACTCTTTAAGTCTAGCACCGTCACGAGGACGGTGCACTCCGTCCCCTCCAGCGACGACCAACTGTCTCCTGGAGCCAGTATGGACGAGGTAGTGGGTAATAGACAGGTAGGCACCTTGTCAACATTCACATCAAGCGCATCCACACCGGGGAGCTCAAGCAATATCTATTTCTGAAATGCAAGATTACTCAGCACGCAAGCAAACGTACCACATACGATGCCTTATTGGCCTGGATTAGTAAATCGAATGGGAGCGTACGTATCATGCTTCTATTCCTGCACCTGAGCATCCGCCCTTATGATCAATCCACGGAGTTCGCATCGATCAAATTTGCCTTGCATTCGCAACACCTGAAATCAACATGAGTTTGTCATAAACTCACCTTCTTCATGTTCTGGTACGGTTATTTCCGGTTTGCTCGATTGCCGTTTCCCTGCACTAAGTGAACCGTACAAAAGCGGTATGAGTATCCTCGTGGAATCCATTCGGTATACATATAAACATAGATTGGTGTCATCTGTGTCCAATGGCAGTTCGAATACAACATATGCACATGTGTTTCCACGGACTTCATTATTAACTGTCACAAAACTGGACAGAGACACATTAGTTCGCATGAACAAGCATGTATGAACAAACATGTATGGGTTTCATTTGGAGGTCAGGCTAAGAGTTACTTGCACAGGCATGAGATTAAGTACCCAATACGTACTGTTGGTGTTCACCTCTGACGGCCTATTTGGCACGACAACTACCATAGTACTACAACAACTAAGTCCCACTGGCCACTGTCAAACTTGCGGTTTTCCAAACAATGTTCGCACTGTGTTGCAAATATCCAAGATGTAGCATGGTTGTCATCCAAGTACTCATCCGTTTATACATACCGTTGTGTATCCTGTTGTGGCTATAAACTACTTGGTTACGATCTACTTTAGTACGCCTGGGGTGCAGCTATTCGGTGCTCGTAAAGTGAACAAATTTTCCCTATGCTCTGATTCCTTTCCCATGTAATTTACTAAGACACTTACGTACCATTTCCGTTGGCATTACCTTTTTCTTAGTCTACCCAGAAGATTGACCCCGTCTAAGACAACTTCTAGTAGGTGCCTCTTAGACAGATGCAATAATGCTACTGCGTTGCACCAAGTCCCTACTTCATCATTCCACATAGCAATTGCACCCAAGCTATACTTACATTAGCAATGGAATAAGGATGACACACAAGGATGACAGACCGTGTGAGTAGGCAACTATGCAGGTTTGTAGGGAAATGGTGCGCTGAAGTCAACTTATTTTCATAAGCTCAGCTAAGATAAGGTTGTCAGATGAAGAACGGGAATTATAGCTCTAATCATTCTAACAGATTTAATGTGAAACCTAGCATAACACATCAACAGCAGCATGTTAATCGCTAGTCAATTACTTGCCGGGACTGTTCACTTTCCACGGATGTTCCAGAGCGATTGATATTTGAATGCATGATCCAACTTGAACATGTCTATCGCATTGCCAATTTGCCACCAAATCGAGGAAGCATTGCTTTTCCATACTGTATTAGGTAAAGGGTTCCTAGGCTATGGTAATGGTAAGGTACGGTAAAATAAGGTAACATGTTATAAGTAAGTAAGTGAGTAAGTCAGTGTAGCCCAACTGCGATAAAGAAGCATGGTGTATGCAACATCAAACCTCAGCATAGGGGCATTCGTATAGAGGCATCTGTGTTCGGATTACCAGTATGGCAAATATAGTACGCGCCTGTGTCTTTGCAGAAACTATGCGTGGTTGTCATTGCACTGCAACATTTGGTGAATTAGTACATTATCAGTGCAAAAGTCCTCCCCGTCCGATTCCATTCTGACTCACCTCGCTCTATCACGTTTGGCCGGTTTACCGTGTACTGTCCTTTCTCAGTTGCGTACCACCAAGTGTCACATGTCAGTCCGTGATGCTCGATCTAACAATCCACCTGTTCGGCATAACCCCATCGTGGCCTCGTTGATGACTGGCCAGACCAGCTGGGCTAAAACACACACGGCCACATGCACTACAGCTCCATGTTGGAGTAGCCGAAGAATTATAGTCCGACGGCAGATGATGTTTGCGTGCTGCACGTTTAATTTCTCGATGCACCATCTGCCTTTCTTGCGATTGGGCAACGGTACAGGTGATGAGATCACGCCACGTGCGGCGATTTGTTGCCAACTCCTCCCAAATATTTAGGTCAATACTTAATCTGGACAAACTAACCTTGATATTATCTTGGTAACGCAACTTGGGTTTGCCAGCATTCCGGCCACCTGCGATCAGTTGCCCGTACAGCAATTGCTTCGGGATTCTCGTTGCATCCATACGGCGCACATGTCCAAGCCACCGGAGATGTCGCATCAGTAGCATGTAGTCTATGGTGTACACTTCGCTCCGGCGGATCACATCAGTGTCTGGCACATTGTCCCACCATTGTATGTGCAGAATCCGGCGAAGGCACTGTTGATGGAATCGTTCCAAAAACCGGATATCCTTTCTGTACAGTGTCCAAGTTTCCGATCCATAGATAAGGACTGAGAGAACCATTGATTTGTACACCATCACCTTGGTTCTAACAGTGAGATGATGGTTCTTCCACACGCGATGTTCCAGTTTCCCAAAAGCCGCACTTGCCTTCGCCACACGAGCGCGCAGTTCGTTGGTGATTCGCAGGTCGCTTGACAATGTACTCCCAAGGTAGCAGAAGGCGGACGTGTTCTGTAGTACTTCATCTACAATCCGTATTTCTGGTCCACACACGGGCTGCACTCCCGGTGCCGGCTGAAATAGACATACAGTCTTGCCTGTGTTTATGCTGAGTCCAAACTTTGTCGCTGTGGAAGCTAATATAGTCGTCATGCATTGCAGTTCTTCCTCAGTATGTGCAAATAACGCGCAGTCGTCTGCAAACAGCAGCATACGAATGGTTGTCTCACGCACTAAACTTCTTGATCCAAAGCGGCGGATGTTAAGCAAACCCCCATCCATGCGGTGCTCTAGATGCACACCGTATTCGCATGTGTTGAATGCGCACGACATCACAGCCGTCAGGTAGATATTGAACAGTGTGGGGGCTAAGACGCATCCTTGCTTCACACCGGAGATAACGGCAAAGTCATCTGTAGTCTGTCCACTTAGCTGCACCCTTGCTCGCATGCCAGTATGCAGGCATTCAATGAGACGAATAAACTTTGCAGGGCATCCAAACTTGGAGAGAATCAACCACAACGCCTCACGGTTCACCGTATCGAACGCTTTGGTGAAGTCGATGAACAATGAATACAACGGTTGATTGCATTCACGACATTTTTCCTGTAGTTGACGTGCTGCAAAAACCATGTCGATGGTGCTTCGGCCCGAGCGGAATCCACATTGCTCCTCAGGTACATTCGGTTCTAGTACATGTGTGACAAGGCGATTGAGTAGGATACGGGCAAAAATCTTGCCAACGCAACTAAGTAAGTTGATGCCACGATAATTGTCGGTGTGTTGTTTACTACCCTTTCCCTTGTACAGTGGAATCACAAGAGCATCCTTCAACTCTGCGGGCACTTGCTCTTCCATCCAGACGGCTTCCACCAAACGATGCAGGGCACGTATCATAACTGGTCCTCCGTTCTTCAATATTTCCGGTGGTATGCCATCAACACCAGCGCATTTCCCATTCCGTAGTTGAGCAAGCGCTCTCTGTGTTTCATACATTCCCGGTGTCTCCTCCAGTTGCGATAGTACGCTATGGTGTTGCAGCCCGTGTAGTGTGTCCCAGTCTACCTCTGATCGATTGTTCAGGAGCGTATCAAAGTGTCTGTGCCACATTTGCAAGATGTCATCAGATTGTGTGTATACGGCGCCAGTCTCAGAGTCTTTCAGGGTCTTCATTTACTGCACAGTGGGCCCGTACACTGCCTTCAAGGAGTCGTAGAATTCTTTTTGTTGACGGTGTTCAGCGTAGGACTCCATCTGCGCAGCTTGCATTGTCCACCACGTATTTTGCACCTGACGCAGCTCTCCAGCTAGCTGTCTTCGAATGTGGCGAAAAGCATTACTCTTCATGGTGTTGTTAGGGTCAACCTCGGATGCGATGAACGCTGCGTTTTTTGCTCGTACTAATGGTCCAATCGTCAAACTGTTTTCGTCGAACCAGTCGGGCCGTTTACAGTTTGTACACCCAATCGTCTCCTCCGTAGCAATGGTCACCTGTTTCTTCAAGTGGTCCCATAGGACGCTGACAGAAGCCGAGGAGTCGTCTTCGCCAAGGCGGGTTCTTATGGCATCCTCCAGTGCTTGTCTCTTTTCTGCACTCATAAGGGCGCGTACGTTGTATTTCCTCCGATTGCTATTCGCTGGAAAGTACGACGATTTGTAGACATTTATGTAGAACTTTGTGCGCACCAGCTTGTGATCAGTCCCACATTCAGCTCCACGCATTACCCGCGTTATGCGTACTTCACGCATGTCCCGTTGACGTACGATGACGTAGTCCAGCAAGTGAGCATGACCACTCCGTGGGTGGGTCCATGTAGCAATGTCCCTAGCACACAGAGCAAACTGAGTGTTCGTGATCGTCAAGCCATGTGTAGCACACAATGAAAGCAAGCGCTCTCCGTTCCCATTGACTATCCCAATCCCGTGCGGCCCGATCACCTCAGCCCACACTGTGGCATCACACCCTACACGTGCATTGAAGTCACCAAGCAGGAATAGTCGATCATTCATTGGGACAGACTTTATAACAGTGGCCAATTGCGAGTAGTACTGATCTTTCCTGTCTTCTGTATAACTCATGGTGGGACTATATGTGCTAATAAATGTTGCGAACTTACCACGTCTGAGGCATATACGGAGCGACATCAACCGTGGGCTGATACCAATCGGCTCCCCCGTCAAACGGCCATTTAGGCGGTCAGTGATTGCAAATCCGACGCCTTGTTCACGTGGTGCTGCTTCGGGATTTCCAATCCAGTAGAAAGTGTACCCAGCACCATCCTCTCGCAATTTACCTTGATCAGCCAGTCGAGTCTCACTCAGCGCTGCGATATCAATGTCATACCGCGCAAGTTCCATGGCGACTAATGCGGTTCGTCGCATAGGTCGATGATTAGTGTCCCGATCATGCAGTGTGCGCACATTCCAGCATCCAACCTTGAGTGTTTGACGTGCTGGTCTGCGGCCACGTGTGGCTCTTGATCTCGATGGCGGAGATATGGTTGGATTTGCCTCGTTCGGGGTTTGGGAGGAAAAAATTGGTTCAGTCGAAAAGGGGATTTGGACAGAGGAACGTGGAGTGTTATGGAACCGGGGAACAAGCAAATGATCAATGCTGGTTAAATGTCGCTTAGACAGCCTACAGTGTGTGCGAGATGAGGTGACACCGACACCAATATTACTCGACGAACTACGTCGACGCGGGGTGCTATTATGTTGCATTGGACTTCGCATACTCAGTAGCAGCACGAGAATTGTGTGTGTAGTGTTACCAAGAAATCCAGTAACTGGTCTCAAGGGCATGCACTACTATACACGGCAGAGAAACGTATAGGTTAAAACGGTTAAAACGGGCGCTGGAATATTCGGATCGCAAGATATTCTGATATGGCGAGCATTCGTGTGCGCAGATACTTCAATTTGTCCATAGAAACCTGTTAAATCACAGTAAACGCGTTCTCTCTGTGACCTGATCCCCCAAAGTGTTGCCCATTCCAGCATGCCGAATCCAGCGACCTGCATTGTTTGCCCGCCCGTGGGTGCGTTTGGGAGAGGAGGAGTGAGGTCATGAGTTGAGTTGGTCGAGAGAGATGAAAGGCCTCACTTCGAAGTTGGCGTCCGTTGGTGTATCCGAATTGCCTGGATGAGGTCCTAAGGACGATTAACGTGTTTGCTTTTACACGCTTGTTGATATAGTTAAGTATTGGCCCCAATGGCGTTGGTGTTTTTAGTTCTTTTCTTCATCATTCTCTTGATTAACTTCCTCCTAGGATCAACATCTCATTCGTTAGGCATAACATGACTTTACGGCACGATAGCCGGCTGTTAGCTTTGGGAACGATGTCCATCCGTTACTGGGGACTCAGCCGGTGTGCCAATGTATTTGTTCTTGCCTTTTGTATTACGGCATAATAGCTAAGGTTTTTGCCACCTGCAGCTATGTTTATATTGGTGATGATGATTATGTGCTCTGAAGTCCCTCGACAACATGAGCAGACCGTACGCAGTTGGGCAACGCTCGCTTGGTTACTTAGACGCAGCTTCTTCACTTGATCTGAAGAGCTTGCTACTCCTCTGTTCTTTTCACTGATAGGACTGGTGCTTAGATACTGCTCACCTGCCTATTTCCCGATCACAACAGCTGGAGTGCAGAGATTTAACTGTTCAAAATTTAGCTACACGTCTCTTCCTCATTTCCCGGATAAGTCGTCCGAGGACCGCTGTAGAATACTGGGGCTTTATACCATTTTATCTCGTCGGCTTCAATTTTATCTTATAATGACACACCAGATAATACACCTTGGTCACTTCCCTATGTTTAGGCCTCTGCTGCACTTACGCGTATAAAGAAGCACATGGGGACAGTGGACCAAACTGGTAGTACCGATTTTGAAGCATATCGCACAGCTTCTGCGTTTCAATCTTCTAATGGCAAAATATTACAACATTTTCCCAGAAATAGTAGTTGAGGCGAAATCGGTGTCGGCGTTTATCAGCTGCTTCGACAATTAGTTTGCGGATTACAGGTATAGGGGTATCGAAATCTTATAATTTATGTTGCTGTTGTAATATTTTGCCACCGCGTAGGAATCAGCGATGCGATTCCGTGCTAATGCCCCATCTTATTATGACGAAATAACAAATAGTTATATATGCTTGCTCTCTAATTTCAATGTTCCGTAACCAGTATCCATAGTGCATGTTTGAGGGCTTTACCCAACCTAACATTTATGTAAATCAGTTTGCTAGCTTCACTCTAGTCTTGTGGGTGCTTCTTTTACTGTAACCAACCAGAGCGTAAGCAAAACTACTAGGATATATGGTTGTTACTTAAATAGCAAGAGTATAACTGTTGTATTTAAGTACACTTTTATCATATATGACAGCAGTTGAAGCATTATTACGGGTTCCAGGCAGACTATACCGCCTGTGTGTTTGAAAACACCACCTATCTAGTCGTACAGCTTCTTTCAGTAAAAGTTGTTATCCTCAGTATTCAAGGCTGCAATTAAGGGGTAGATCTGTTCAACTGAGTCATTAGTCTAAAGCTGCGGGTTTAAGCAACCCAACATTTCAGATTAGCTATACCGCTGGTGCTAATTAACGGGTTTCTAAATTTTTTAATGTAATTTTAACAGTCAGCTTATATTTACGCCTTTTAACATTTTTATTAAGGTTAATGATCAACTTCGAAAAATGTGAAATTTTTCTCTTAAATATTAGCAACTAAAAATGAAGGACATTTATGAGAAAATATAATTTGAATCGTCGAGCTTTGAATAGAATATCCGCGTACATTTGTCTAAATTCCTGGCATTTATTTTTCGTACATGTGATTTTAATTTGTGTGCATAAAATGTTTTAAAACAGTTTTTATCATTTTGCCTCGTTGTTCGAATTCGGCTATTAAAATAATGAATCAGACACATCGCGGACATTTGGATACTTGCGGCACTGATCAGTTCATTGGCAAATTTGGGTTAATGGTCAATGAAATTAAGTCACCTTATTGTGATTTAGATGCACGAGATGTTTGGAATGGTGCATCTTGTTTCAAAGAGTGCAACACCAAATTACATTAGCTCAAAAAAGTGTGTACATGATCACTATCAGTTGACAAATCAGTGGTGATTCGGCGCAATTATAATGACTCGTGGACTTAAAGATTTTATTTGGTTGCACACGTTTACTTATAAATACACACCTTCCAAAGTAATGAAATCATTAGTATGGTTAAAAATACCTAGACAAGTGCAGTTGCTTTACAGTATGTACGTAATAATAAAGACACAATTTTAGTAAAACTGTCTCGGTCGAATACAATAGAAGTTGAACTCGTTTATACGTAACCAAACTGTTAGCTCATACATTCATTACAATGTTTATCTGAAATAGAAATTTAAGGTAATAATTCTTACTATTTAAACTAATACTCTCCTTAAATGTTCATCGGTATTTTCATTTTACATCACCTTGATGATAAGGGTGACACGTTGATGATGCCCACCAGTAAAATCAAAGAAACATTATTCTTCATTAGGGAACCGTCCCAATAAATCGACAAATCGTGCAGAAATTTCTTTACCCCTTACTTTTAACTGTTTCCAGTAGCCTTGTTGGGGACCAGTGCATGAAACAACTATTGGTTAACAAATTAGTCATTTTATTTTAGGCATATTTCAAATTACCCAAAAGAAAGATATCTGATCATCCAACGATATGTACCCTTGGCGCAATGAAAGATGCTTGCGGATGCAAATACAGCGGAATTTGTGGGACTTATGTTATGAGTTGTAGCAGAAAATTTTAACTGGATGTTACACGCAGTGAGTACTAAGAGTATGATGAGTGTGAAAACCAAGTAAATTTATCTTGCCGTTTCAAAGCAAGAAATTTAATGTTTAATGTTATAAACGTAACTAGTAAAAAGACGAAATGCGGTTTCACTCCTGCTCAAAACTATCACTGTTAAGCGTAGTTGGCGGTTGAAATAAAACTAAACATTTTACATTTGCACAACTGGAATGAAGTTAATAAGTGAGATTTGAGTATCAAGTGCTGGGATAAAAATATCTAAGATGCAAGTAATATTGGATGCCGAAAACCGACATCAGAGTCGTCTTCACATAAGACGACATTAGCAAAATAAGGGGTGACAAAAGAAAGAATAATTCCACTCTCACTTGAACGCGTATGATGACATTTCCGTTTGGGTATTCAGGAGTCACTTGAATCTTATTTCATTTGCCAAGCATAACATTCTCACTCGCAATAAAGTGCCACACCAACTGTATACTAATTTAATGGCCTGAAGGACCTGGGTCCAAAGCTGAAATCCGCCAACTAAATCATTCTTCCGATAGTTCGCATATCTCTCAGTAAATATGACCACTTGGTAGGTGTGCATTCATATAACTTATGGTGATGAATTTCCTTTTGATTTGGCGCACCATCAAAACGAAATATTTGCGATTACAAGAAAATTTAAAAGTAATGTCTATCAGTTTAATTTCTATCTTTCTTTAGCTGCTTTCGGATCATAGTCGCATTTTGAAAGTTAGACAGATAAGAACCTTTCCTTTTGCTGTTGTGATTATGAATATCCTAGACAACTCTTAAGTTACTTCTGCGTCTTCATTGCTTTCGTTCATAGGCAGAAAATTTAAGACTCAAGTGAAAAAGTACGTCCAAACGAAAAACATACAGGGAACTAATAGCGCACTGTGTGTGTAATTTAATCAAATTTACTATAAAATACTTTTAGAGTGCACGGTTTTATTATGTCGAAATTAGTAGTAATGCACCCAGATAATCGAAGGCGATTTAAGAATTTATGGTGGATTCTGTTTTATGAATCGCTGTTTATAAAGCATCAGTAAAGGCAGGGGGGCTATCGTCATTTATTGAAAGTACTCGATGAAAAACAACTGAAGGTATTTTCCTTCATCTTTATAAACATCCAAATATATAGTCAAAACAAAACTTTGCCTTTTACGAACCAACGCAACCAATGCAACAAGTGACAAACGTGCGCAAACATTGGATTAGTACTGAGATTTTAATGAAAATCATAATTATCAAAACTATATTTCTCTATTTCTTGAGTTACTTTCTTCATAGTATGTTTAGCTGATTATTGGGCCTATTGGTAAAAGAATAATTTACTGCATGTTAATTCATTCAATGGTCATGTTGTGTCCTCACATCGTTTAATTAAGGAGAACTGACGTGACAGCCATTTATAAGCTTTACGTCAGGAAATACCTATTCTTCTCGCCAGGCTCTATGCAGATGGCGCATAAATACAAAAGGAGAACATGTATTTATTAGAATTTGTTAATTGTGTGAAAAGGAACAGTAAATTTGGTTAATCTTATAGTTTATCCAGGCTTTTGTACTTTGACTACGGAAACAGTGCGGCGTTTTACAATAATTTTTACAGGTATGTAAGCCAAATCAATTCAATGGTAAAAGTTGTGAGTGGAGAATGTAATGAATAGAACTTACTACAAGCTATTTTTTAAGCACGGTTATATAGGTGTACTCACAGTTACAGCTATGACTGAACCGCTTGTGTACATGTGTATGTAAGAAGTGATGGCAGCAATATGCATTAATAGGATGCTGCTTAGATATAGTTTAAAGCAGACGTAACTAAGTGTATGACATTTGGTTTAACAATTATCGTGTCCGGGATTTTATTTCGTTAAGTACTACCAAATGTAGGATTAATTCTCAAAAACTAATGAGCACCTATATGCCAGTACTTCTTCAATTTTAATCGTCGTTCCCGTTGACATTATTTGCCAGAATTTATTTACACC